GACTCTGGTAGCAGCAATGCACTATAATGAAAATGGTGGACGTATCCAAGCCACAACGAATGATGGAGAGAAATGTTTTGGGGTAGCATTCCCTAAATTCAAAAAGGGAGGCTTTGTTGTGAAGCCTGTTTATGTTGAACAAACATTCAGTAAGTTATATTACCCATATATTTATATATATATATATATTTTTATTTTGGATAACACAATAATAATAATAATAATAATAATAATAATAATAATCTTGTAGAAATGTGCGCTATATAAATGTTAATGTTAAGTTAATATTACTTAAATATTTATATAGTGCCAATCCCAAATTGAATGACCAAATGTGCTGATATAACAGTACTCTAAATATTGATTCATTTATTATTTGATTAAGTGCTTTTTTTAAACTATTTCAATTATGCAGAGTATGCAGATGCAGTAATGGCACAAGTAATGGAAACATGCGCTGAAGGAGAGGTACACCATTTAGAAGCACCTCCATCTGCTTTATGCTCCCACTTTGAACATCCAAACAAACAGGAGGCTGTAGCACTTCATCGCTCACGTTTTGTTTGAGATGGTGTAGCATGTTTCAGAGTGAAATTATGTGTTCTCATGATATTTGTTCTCCAGCCTTTTTTTGACCAGTATAAATGTTGTTTTCTGTTCATCATTTCAATATTATGTACACATTTACAACAGTAGTATAAAACCAGCAAACAAATATAAAGTTTAAATAATGTAGTTTATATTTTATTGTACAATGTACTTCCAATATAGTTTGCCTTGTCAACATTGACAATAAGTCAGTATGTTATTTAAAGAAAACAACCTATTAGTATATTTAAGATTTCTGTGAAAAATGTAGCATAACTACATCATCTAAAGGGTGTTTATGCTCCATGGGAATTTTTTAAATTAAGGAAAAACCTGATGATGCTCAAGCTTTGATGGAAATTTAAAATGTATTACAATGTATCCTGGATGTAAATATATTTGCCTGGACAAATGTGCATTAAATCTGGCTTTGATGAGAGAAGTGACAGAAATTATAACGGTGGATACTTGAATCCAACATATTTTTTTGATTGAAATTTGCTGCGAATTTTGATAATGGCACATGCAGGTATTACAGTACGCTGATGTTTTCCTCTGTATCCCCATATCCATTTTACAAAATTTCTGTAACTTGTATGTCGATATTTTCTGTAAATAAAAAATATTTTAAACTTAAACTTTAAACATGCATTCCTTTTATTAATGTTTTTTAGTTTGTATATTTCGTTTTTACAGTATTTAATAAATAAATAAATAGCTTACTCATGTGTGGTCCCTTCTCTCTTGTCTTTCTTTGGAATTTCGTCATAGGCCAGTTGTAATGCCCATATGTCAAGGCAGATAGATCTAAATCCAGGATGCTGTGTAATGCATTTCATATTTCCATCAACAATAGCTGGGGCATCTTCAACGAATTTATCTTTAATTTTCAAAATTTCCATACAGCATAAACACTCCTCAGTTGTTGGCATTACACTACATTTCTCACAGGAACACCTAAAATTTACAATAAATAATATGTTATTATTTTATTACTATAGTCTATAGTTTAAAAATAATATTAATAATTTACTCCTCGGGAGCAGACTGTTGGAGTTCGAAATGTTCGTACTGTAAACATGTAATGACAATGTAATGGAGTCTTTAAAATATTGTATCTAGGAATATTTTTGGCAACGTAACATTATTAACGAATACAGTAATGTATAGGCTACATGACGATGCCAGATAGTACAACAAATACTATATAGACCTGGACCCTGCTTCGGAGTCTAGGCCTAGGTAATAATATATAATTTAGGGGCCTAAATAATTATATATCTCTGTGTTAATAGTTATCACATTTATTTAAACTAAAAATCGCCGATTGGCACCGTTATCTAAGCCTACGATGTCTCGTAATATTTAGGATAGGGCGGCCCTATAGAAGTACTGTATCATAATTATCAGACATCCTAGCCTAGAATGCCCAGATAAATAATACGTATGTAATAAGTAGGTAGGCCTAGTAGACTAGAGGGGCAGATAGGGGCCTAGCCTAGGCCTGTAATAAAACACTGTTTGTAGCCAATAAATAGCTATGTTTTACTTACCAATCAGTATTAGTTCTTCTTGATTGATCTTTGTTGTTGTTCTCTCCTCCCGCCTCTTCTTCATTGCCGCTGCCATCATCATCAGTACAGTACGGTTCGAACTTATACGGCGTTATAGAAGCCATTGTTGACACTGAACGAAAATTGAGCGAATGATTTACCAGTTTCGCTCGTCGCGCCGAAGAAAAAAGGTTACAAAAACTTCACAGCGTGCGTGAGCGGTATAGTACACCGTGAGACAAGTCTGACGTCACGCTCAATCTTCGTTCGCGCACGTAACAAATTAAGGGACGGGGCTAAGGTAATGTAATTATGTAATTATTGATTTTTAACAAATATTCAATAGCAGAATTCAAGGAAATACTACATCCTCGCCAATTTAACATATAATTGAACATATAAATGATTACTAGAATGTATGAGGTTCCAATAACTTTAAGAAATGTTTGTTTAACATTGTGTATAATACTAGTGTTGATACAGATGGCAGTTGTTTGAAATATAATGGTTAATGCACCCATTGTCATAAAGCAGAATGTAGTGGAATTTGTATAAAATGGAGTTTAATAAAGGGATTGATTATGATTACTGTACTTTATCAGTGTATCCTGATGACATTTTACAAGCTCTTGACATTGAATACTGTACTTTATCATCAGTGTATCTTAGGACATTTTGCAGATATTTTTGCAGACATTGATTACTGTATTTATCAGTGTGTAACCTGATGACATTTTGTTAGCTCTTGACATTGTATCCTGATGACATTTTACAGGTTCTGTCATTGATTACTGTACTTTATCAGTGTATGCTGATGACATTTTACAGGTTCTGTCATTGGTTACTGTACTTTATCAGTGTATGCTGATGACATTTTACAAGCTCTTGACATTGTATCCTGATGACATTTTACAGGTTCTGTCATTGATTACTGTACTTTATCAGTGTATGCTGATGACATTTTACAGGTTCTGTCATTGGTTACTGTACTTTATCAGTGTCTCCTGATGACATTTTACAAGCTCTTAACATTGTATCCTGATGACATTTTACAGGTTCTCTCATTGATTGCTGCATGGTTGCTGTACTTTTCAGTGTATGCTGATGACATTTTACAGGTTCTTTCATTGATTACTGTACTTTATCAGTGTGTCTTGATGACATTTTACAAGCTCTTGACATTGTATCCTGATGACATTTTACAAGCTCTTGATATTGATTGCTGTACTTTATCAGTGTTATATCCTGATGACATTTTACAAGCTCTTGATATTGATTGCTGTACTTTATCACAGTGTATCCTGATGACATTTTACAAGCTCTTGACATCTATCACTGTATATTATCAGTGTATCCTATGACATTTTAC